TGAGTGAGAGGGAAAGAGAGGCTTTTCGGAAGTTTTAATATTTTACTTTGTTAATCTTTTTAATATAACATTCTCTACTTTTATATTTATATATATGCTATATTTTTTGGTTATTATATGCCAAATTGCTTGTCAATATAATGAGACTAGCTATAATTAGGTAGAGTCTGTCTATGACTTGCTCTGGCAAGGTGACACAAGCGCAAGTTATGAGCCCATTAATGTGTCAGCTCGGCTATACCTTGTTCCCTTGGCTTTTCTTGATGCTTTCTAATGTAATCCATGTCACCATTATATTACATGTTTACCTTCTGGCTTGCTCATGTATTGTTGCAGGGCTACTTTACACTGCTTCTTTTATCCTTGTCGTTTTCTTTCAAACAAAATTATTCATTGTGCTAAAATTTATATTAGGAAATAATTTATTCTTATTAGAAATTATGAGTATTTGATTTTTTTCTTAACATAATTTCATTTCCTTTCCTACTTGAGATTTATTTTCTTGGATTGGATTTATCCCCTTTCCTATTTTAGGCTTTCACATTTTATGTTTTTTTTTTATCTTCAAATAATTAATATGAATTGATTAATTGTAGATATTATGTGATATATTTTTTCTTTCTAGTTATTTCTTTTTTATTGTCTTTCATATTCCAAATTTCATGTAAGACTTTTTTATACCCCAGTTCATATCAATAAAATTATTATATTTTATTTCGCATTATTCTAAATTTCAACATGATATTAGAGTCTTGAAACAAACCCTAGAGAGTCTCTTGTCGCTGGAAAACTTCATATTCCCTACAGTCGGCAATCTTTGCCTTGCTGCAGACATTTCCTCTTTCTCTTTTCAATTTTGTCGCTGGAATTTTCTCTGCAGCCTTTCCTCCCGCCGGAACTCCCTCCCATTGTCTTTCCCGTCGTAAAAAAATCTCTCCTTGTAGGCCCTAGCCACTGGAAGTCCTTCCTGCAGGAACTAGCCGTCGAAACTTTCCCCCTACAAAGGCTTCGTGAAGCTGTTGAGAAGGCTAAGATTGAACTTTCTTCAACGTCCTAAAGTGACATTAACCTCCCCTGCATAACAGTTGATGCATCAGGAGTGAAGCATTTAAATATTACTTTGACAAGATCTAAATTTGAGTCATTTGTGAATAATTTGATTGAGAGGACTAGAAATTCATACAAGAGCTATTTAAAGGATGCAAGACTAGCTTCTAAAGACGTGGATGAGGTTCTTCTTGTGGGAGGTATGACTATTGTGCCTAAAATTCAAGAAATAGTTTAGATCTTTGTGAAGGTACCGAGCAAGGTGTAAATCCTGATGAAGCTGTTGCATTGGTAGTCGCTATTCAAGTTGGGATTCTCAGAGATGTAAAGGAGTTATTTCTCTTTGATGTGACTCCATTATTTCTTGGAATTGAGACCCTTGGGAAGTATATTTACCAAATTGATTAACAAGAACACTACCATTCATACAAAAAAGGCCAGGTATTCTCCACTACAACTGACAATTAGACTAAGGTAGGTGTTCGGGTCCTCCTCCAAGGCGAGCGTGAGATGGCTTCTGACAACAAACTGTTTGGTGAATTCTAGCTTGTCAGCATTCCTCCAGCACCGCGAGACTTGCCTTAGATTGAGTTCGCCTTCAACATTGACACAAACGACATTAGGATTGTCTCAGCCAAAGATAAGGCCAATAGAAAGGAGCAACATCAACGTTTCTTTTCTGGAACAATTGTGTTAAGGGAGATCAGGAAGTCCTAGAAGAGCACAAAGTTCTTTTCTTGCAGCAGGCTCTCTTCCGGAGGTTTTTCTGCAACAAGCCTCTTTCAAAACTTTTTCCTGCAACAGTCCTTCCTCCGAAGCTTTTTCTTGCAGCAGGTATTCCTCTAGATTTTTTTCCTATGTTAGGTCCTTCATCCAAACTTTTTTCCTGCAGCAAGTCTTCTACCAGGATTCTTCCTGCAGCAAGCTCTCCTTCAGAACCTTTTCCTGCATCGGGCCCTCAGCATCTTTCCTGCAGTAGACCTTGCCTTCAGAGTTTTTTTTCTGCATCAAGCCTTCCTCTAGGCTTTTGCAGACCCTCCACTTGAATTATTCCTGCAATAGGTTCTTCTTCGAAGCTTTTTCCTGTAATATAACCCACCTCTAGAGCTATTCAAATTTTTTTTTCTTTTTTATGCAGGCCATACTCCACAATTTTTCTTGTTGGTTGTCTTCTTCTTCGCAAACTTTCCTGTAGCATTAACTGAAATAGCCTTTCACCCATCTACGAACACTGCAAATACCTCAGACAAATACAACCACAGTTGTCTATTTCCGTGCAAACTTCCCTGCAACATTACTTATCGGAGCCTTCTATTTACCTACAAACACTGTAGGAAATACAAGCAAAGACAACCACATTATCTACTTCTCTACGAACTTCTTTGCAACATTACCTGTAGAAGTCTTACGCTTACATGCTGACACTGCAGAAACTGCTGTTAAAAACAACCACAGTTGTCTACTACCCTGCAAACCACCCTACAACATTACTTGCAGAAGTCTTTTGCTTATCTACAGACACCGCAATACGGGATGAAGACTTCAAGTTATACTTTACAAGATATTTTTAGTCCATTGTTTGATGTTTTCAAATCCAAGTTAAACATGATTATCAATCATGTTTCAACTTGAGGGGGAGTGTTAGAAGATATAATAGGAAATAATCTATTTCTATTAGAAGTTATGAATATTAGATTTATTTCTTAATATAATTTATTTCTAATATATTTATTTTCTGTAGTTATTTTAGATTTATTTTCTTTGATTAGATTTATTTCATTTCCTATTTTAGGATTTCCTATTTTATGTTGTTTTCTTTTATCTCCAAATAATGAATATGAATTGATTAGTTAGAGATATCAAGTGTATATATTTTCTTTCATGTTATTTCTTTTTTATTTTTTATTTTCTATTATGGGATTCCTGGAAGGGTTATTTATACCCCTTTCATATCAATAAAATTATTCCTCTTTATTTGGCATTATTCTGAATTTCAACACAGAATAGACCGATCGACCAAGTTAGAAATGCATTCTTGCAATGCTGGATGGAAGTATACTCTTTCCTCTATGAAAGAAAAGATATAGGAAGTTTAGCATTTCTATTTTATGCTTGTTCTCATGGTTTTCTTGTTTTAATTAATAGGTAAATATGATGAACTTTCCTCTATAGCTCTGAAGTTTTAATGCTAATACTAGCACAAATATTATAAACTATACTAATAAAAATGTAGGTTTTTCCATCCATTTTACATTTTCGACTGAATTTCCTACTAGGTATATTAAACTTTTGGCTTCTCCCTTGCTATTACATTTTCTATGGAACTCTGAACTTGTAAACTATTGCATCATAATCTATATGATTTCCCGCAATTTCAAATGTCTTAAGTTGATATCAAAAGGTGGTTCTTTTTAGTTTGTTCATTTTAAAAACACGAGTAATCATAATTTTATTTAATTGTTATATCCTGCTTTTTCTTTCCCAATAGTTTTCTTAAATTCTTCATTGTTTTGCAGATTGGTCAAGGGACTTATAGCACTGTTTATAAAGCTCGTGATCTTCTAACTGGCAAGATTGTTGCACTTAAAAAAGTGAGATTTATTAATCTGGATCCTGAAAGTGTTCAATTCATGGCAAGAGAAATTTATGTTCTTCGTAGGCTAGATCATCCAAATGTTATTAAGCTTGAAGGTCTAGTGGCTTCAAAAATGTCGAATAGCTTGTGGCTTATATTTCAATATATGGAACATGATCTAGCTGGACTTGCTAGTAGGCCTGGGATTAAATTCAATCTTTCTCAGGTGCCTGATTTAATACCTAATTAATAATTTCTTGATCCAATATACACCATCTAATTATTAGTGTTGTTCGGTGTTTCTTTTTCTTATTGTTCAAGGAGTTTACTTTGGATTTCAGGTTAAGTGCTTTATGCAACAGCTATTCAATGGCCTAAACCATTGCCACAGTAATGGGGTTTTGCATCGAGATATCAAGGGAGCAAACCTTCTAATAAATGATGATGGTATACTTAAAATAGCAGACTTTGGTTTGGCTACATTTTTTAGTGATGAACTAACACACCCTTTAACAAGCCAGGTTGTAACATTGTGGTATCAACCTCCTAAACTTCTGTTGGGCACTCAAAAGGATGGAGTTTCTGTTGATATGTGGAGCAGTGGTTGCATACTTGCGGAGCTACTTTCTGGGAAGCCTATCATGCCGGGAAGAACAGAGGTATTATTGGGGAACAAACACATTACTTTCTTTAATGTTGACAAAGTTTTTAAAGCAAAGAGCATATAAATATTAATGAAGAACGTGTTGTTCAGATGTTGAAAGCTTGTAAAGTACTTGAAGTTTTAAAAAATATTTTGATATTTTAAATTATCTCAAAGCCATGTAACTAGGATGCGATGGCCAAGTTTGGCAATTTAAACCAATTGCGACTTCTCTTAGTCATCACGAAGTGTTACATTATACTCGAGTTATGGATAATAGACATTAGGGCATTGTTTTGATTTCTCCCGCTAATTTATGATTCTCCTGCTAATTTATATGTATCAGCTTGGTAGTTAGTGATCTTATATATACAAAATATATGAAATGCCCACATAGCTTTTAACAGTTTGTACTCACACTCATCAAGGCTTTTGCCTTACTTCCTGTTCTTGTTGCCGTCCTTCGATTCGTGTGATCTTCACTGCATGCTCATCAATTTATAGACTATTATAATTATTTTGCAATTGTTATTCTCTAATTTTATATGTTAATTATTAGGAGCTTTCTCATGATTTAGAAATGTTACACAAACATTGGAATGAAACACTAAATAAATTCTCTTAAATTCTTCTAAATAGCATATTTTGTGTCATTGATTAGTCACATGTATAGTTGATTGCTATGCACAGAATCGACCATCTTAATGGGGACCTTAGTATATGACTTGAAGCTGAAATCATGTGTGATAAATCTTATGTGGCTTAAATTTAATTCATATGAATTTAGTGCTAGATGGTTTTATAGATGGGGTTGTTATTAGTAGAATTCAAGTTGGTTTAAGTCGAGGAATGCAGTGGGCCTATTGTGTGATCAAAAAGTACCGCTTGAAGGAAAGTTTTTTAATATGGTGGTGAGACATGCAATGCTCTATGGCGCAGAATGCATCCTTAGTTAGTTTTTGTTATCTGAACCATACTCCACTTGAAGCTTACTCGATGCAAATTTGATGAAATTTATGGCTTTGTTTCTTAAATGGTTCTCGGTATGACCTGAGAGATTAATTTTTCAGGTTGAACAGCTGCACATGATATTTAAGCTGTGCGGTTCACCTTCGGAAGAATACTGGAGGAAGTCGAGGTTGCCACATGCTACTATCTTTAAACCTCAACATCCTTATAAAAGTAATATCCATCAGGAATTCAGGCATTTTCCATCTCCTGCTGTAGCTCTTTTAGAAAGATTACTTGCAGTAGATCCAGCTGATAGGGGAACATCTTATTCTGCCCTCACGAGCGAAGTAAGTTTTCAATTTCTTTTTAAAAATTTCAGTTAGTGGTATTGTCAGTTTAATTTAAATTCTTAATATTGATTTCTGTTATTCTATGATTGATCATTTCAGCTGTAACTCGAGCCTGATTCATATGGCAATAGATATAACTTTCATTGCAATCTAATTTAAACTAATGAGTAAATGACAAGTATGTTCACAATGAAAATTAATCATTTTATCTTGGGCAATTCATAAAAGAATAAATAAGATCAAATGATAAAATGACAAAGCATCCGTATTAACTAAATTCTATAGCCATATAAGCTACATTTAACATAGCTAAACCTGCAGTGTCTTGCAAAAACAAGGAGTAAAAACTTTTTACTGGATACAAATTTCTCATGCTGCATAAAGAGTAGTGAAATGTCCATTATTATGTTTTGCGGTAAAATAAAATGAAATATCAGTTATTAGGTTGATATGTGAAGCCCGAGCCCTTCAAATATGTCTACAGTAAAGGTGATTGTTGTTCACCTTGAATTGCGTTTAAGTGCTCATTTATAAATTGTTGGTTGTATATTTAAGTTTGATCTTCTCATTTTGTCAATTTGTTTATTTGTGCTAGTAGAAAGTTTTCTTTCATGCCCCTGGAATTAAGCGTAAATGAGCTGAAGATGAATGAGTTGGGGTTTTGCTCATCTGATGAGCTGAAAAATGATGTCCTTTTTTGGCTTATTTGCTTTTGAACCAAACTAGACATAAATTGAGCCACTTCTTGCTCGTATTTGACTCACTTGACAAATTAAAATAATTTTGTTTTAGCTTCACTTGGTGACATGTAGCAAGCCAAACTTGAGCCACTTATTGTGGCATACATGAGTTGTTGGAGAACATTAACTTTTTTTTTGCACTTCTTTCTGGATTGGTGATTATAAATCTAGATTTTGCTCCCCTTTTTATGGCCATATTTTTAGTTATGGTTGTCACTTTCCTCTTGCTGTGCTACGATACAGTGACTATTTTTTTTCCTCTATCATTTCAGTTTTTCACTGTGGAGCCTTTTGCTTGTGATCCTTCAAGCCTACCTAAGTTTCCTCCTAGCAAGGAGCTTGATTCTAAGAAACTTCGAGATGTGGAAGCTGGAAGGTATATGAACTTTTTATTAATCATTCATCTTATTTTTATAGCTTCTCTGTTAGGGCCTGTTGACTGTTTATTTTCACTATTTAACAGTCTTCATAATTTTTTTTCTTCAGGCAAAGAGAAGCAACTAAGAAAGGTAATGGCCTCGAATCAGGAAGAAAATTGTTAAAAAATCCCAACGGAATGCCAATTTTGGATGCCAATGCAGAATTGCAGGTATTTTGCTTATTGTGTTGTACTTAAATTCTTTTTTTTTATATACTGAAAATGGAACATTCAATTTGTTCGTTAATTTGTGTTCTTGTTTGGGATCATTTGTTTTCATGATTGTTGACCATGTTGCCTAGAGTGCCATAAATATTCTGCTTAATAATGTTTATTTTTAATCTAGTTCATAAACTTAAATTTTATATTCACACTATCACATCTTATTTTGGCCCTTCCTAGGTGCATGTGAGAGGTATAGAGACGAACATTCTCATGAGACCCAATTTGTATAAACACCTATCTTGGCTTCAGTGATCGGGATCAATTTAATAAAAGATTGTGATTTTTTGGAGAAGGAAAAATATTATTCTTCTTCAATTTCTTATGAAATGTTTACAAGATAAATAAAGGGGATGACTCCCACATAAGAAAAGATATAAAATCAACCATAACTCCCCATGATAAAAGAAGGAAGTGAGAATTATAACATACGAATAATCTTATATTCTAGATATAGAAAGTACTACAATAGAGGATACTAAAGAATATTTCTAAAGAAGGAAGTGAGAATTATAACATACGAATAATCTTATATTCTAGATATAGAAAGTACTACAATAGAGGATACTAAAGAATATTTCTAAAATTCCGACACCCCCCTCAAGTTGAAGCCTAGATATCTATCACACTCATCTTGCTTGAGTTTAAAACTAAACCCAAATAACTCTTTGGTGAAAATCTCAGCTATTTGTTTATCAATAGGGATAAATGGAATGCAAATAGCTCCACAATCGATCTTATCTTTTATGAAGTCCTGACCAATCTCCACATACTTTGTGCGATCATGTTGCATTGGATTTTTTGCAATGTTGGCGGCAACTTCACTGTCACCGTACAACTTTATTGACATGCTTATCGGAATCCACAACTCTTTAAGAATTTTCTTTAGCCATAGCCTCGACACTACTCTTTGCAACCACATTTTGTCTTTTACTTTGCCATTTAAACAGATTTCCCTAGACAAATATAATATTTAGATATTGGTCTTTTGTCATCAACTGAGCCTATCCAGTTTGCATCAAGGTGCAAGCCCTTGCATGGTGTACTTTTTAGGTATTTGAGAATTCTTTTAACTAATTCATTGTAAATCCCATAGGAACTTACAACAGCCGCAATATCTAGCGGTGTATGTGAAAAGTATATCAACTTTTCCATTAACTTTTGATATTGATTTGTATTAATTGGGTCGACCTCCTCATCTCCTTGTTTCTGATTGGGATCAATTAGAGCAACTGCATGCCTGCAAAAACTCATCCTTGTTTCTTTTAGAAGATCAAGAAGATATTTTCGCTGGGAAACCACAATTCCTTTCTTCAATCTTATAATCTCTTTTTCAAAAAAATACCTTAGAGACTCTAAGTCTTGGTCTAAAAAACTGATGAGAGAGAAGTCCTCAATAGGTTCATTTCATATATGTCATATCTGGTGAGAATTATATTGTGCACATACGCAATCAATATTGCTATCTTCCCATTTTTAGAATGCCTGAAGAACATTATATGATCTCCTTGCCCTTGAGTACATTCCTGACCTTTAACGATTAGTGTAAATTTTTTCAATCAAATAATCTCAATGCCAAGAAAATACCTCAGAGATCCTAAGTCTTTGGTGTAAAAAACTGATGAGAGAGAAGTTTTCAAATGATTCATTTCATATAAGAAAATACCTCAGAGACCCTAAGTTTTTGGGGTAAAAAACTGATGAGAGAGAAGTTTTCAAATGATTCATTTCATATACATCGTCTCAGTAAGAATTATATCGTACACAAACACAATCAATATTGCCAACTTCCCATTCTTGGAATGCTTAAAGAACATTGTATGATCTTGTCGTTGATTATGTCCCTGACCTTTAATAAATAGTGTAAATTTCTTCAATCTAGTAATCTTAATGCCAAGAAAATACCTTAGAGGCCCCTAAGTCTTTGTTCTAAAATACTAATGAGAGAGAAGTCTTCAAACGGTTCATTTCATATACTTCATCACAGTGAGAATTATATCATATACATATGCAATCAATATTGCTATCTTTTCATCCTTGGAATGCTGAAGAACATTGTATGATCTTGACCTTGATTATATCCCTGACCTATTACAATTAGTTTAAATTTCTCAAATCAAACTCTCGATTACCACTTTAACCTGTATAGGGATTTTTTCAGTCTACACACATTTGTGTCAAACTTCTCACTGAATCCCAGAGGTGCATCTATATACACATCTTCCCCTCGAAGTTCCATTTGAGGAATGCATTTTTATATCCAACTGTTGTAGGGGCCAATCAAGTTTAGCTGCAAGTGACAGAAGTAGTCTTACCAAGTTTAGTTTTGCAACTGGAACAAATGTCTCGAGATAAATCAATGCCAATGTTCGAGTAAAATTCTTGGCAACCAGTCTAGCCTTAAATTCAACCCACGAACGAATGGGGTATATAACCTCCCTCCACTGAAACTAGTCTAAGGCTTTCCCCTCCAAACTCAATTCTGCCGCCATGAGTTTTTCCTTCCCATATAACCCATTCACCGTGAAGTATCGCTCTGCCCGATACACCCATCCATGTGTCTTTTCCACAAGAAGATCGGCATCTTTGATTTCCTAACTCTAACATCTCCACCCCAATTTTTTCATTCTCCATTGTTTCCTCCCATGTATCGACGATAAAACTCTTTTCTTCAACCGTAGCCATATCCCCTCCTTGCTTCTCTCCCTTTATCTTCATGCTCCTCCAAATTTTTGGCATAATCCCTTTTCCATATTTCAGTTAAACCAACTCCATCAGATATTTCTAATCTTTCCGAGTTCTGGGAGGAGTTTCATGAAGTTGGATGTTTTCTTCCTCCTGATCCTCACATTCGATCTTTTTTCCTTTTGATTTTGCCAAGGATTCTCCGGTCAACATTTGATTAGGGTTTGCAAATTGAGTTGTCAACAGGTTCTTAGATTGCATCTCAATAAGCCTCTTTAGCTTCTCTCGAATTTCTGTCATGCTCTCGAATCGATCCTCTAGTCGATTCTCCATGAAATAGAACATCTCCTTTGTGGTGACGAATTCTTCTTCTATCTTAGATTTGATTTGACTCATCTCTTCCTCCAATTTCTTTTCCAGATCATCTATTTTCTTTGATGTCATCCCTTTTAGAAAATCTTTCGATCTCAAAAACAAATTTTTATACCCTGAAATCCAGTCGTCTCTCCTCAGTTAGCTTTTATCACAACCGTAGCTCAAATTAATGTTTTCGGATTTGGTCAATCCCGTAATCCCTTTTATTTACCAGATATCTCCAACCACGATTTTATCTCAAGGCTTCGGTCACGACACACTATAATCTCGTCGTCGCTTTCTATAGCAAGCTCTAATGGTAAATGTATCTGCTTCCCAACACTGCCTTTCCAGCTAGCTCTAATCTCGTCTGTATTGCTCCTCACAGCTTACAACCATAAGGAGAAAGATGCAAGTTTCAGGTCTCGATAAGTCACGATCCTTCGCCGCAATCCTTCGCGTCGACTCTTTCACAACTAGGTCAAAACCCCTGTGACATCGTAGTCTCCTTCCCAACAAGTTCGAAGTGCGGCTATATCGCAAAGTTCCGTCATGAAGGAGTTTCAGATCTCAACAAGCGGAGATCCTTTGCATAGAAACTTTGTCTGCATGCTGCAATCCCATGGTAGCCTCCCCGCTTATAATTGTATCGCAGGATTCGATCACAAAGAGATCCCATCGACTCTTCTCAGCTATTTCTCATGCCAACAGTGACTATTTCTAAGGTCATCTGCGGTTCCGTGTTAATCTCCCCCAAAATCGTGCTCTAATACCAATTTGTTACGATTTAACGTAGAAATCGACACAAAGTTTTACAAAAATTAGGGAAAACACAAATGTTATTGCATTACCACCATTATTAACTTTTTAAGAGTGAAATACGCCTTTTCCATCTGTAGGTTTATGACAGCAAAATGCTATAAATGTAAATCTCAAATTTTAGGTGTTGGATAGGTAAATACATAAGAATTGTGTGCTATGTAAAAAAAACGAGGAAAAAGAGAAAAACACAAAAAAAAAATTGTCCCTTTTCGTGCACTCCTAGCAAGAAAAATGTTCCATGATGTTCTTTTTAATAGTCATTAATTAAGTCCACTTGAAATCATCAATTAGCACTTGTTGACTACCTTAAACAACATGGCTTTTAACTGTGGTGTGCCATTTTTACTTGCCATGTTTATATTTGAATGTTTTACTTCACAATTAAAGCAGTCCTCCGTATGGAGGTTATTTATAGAATTCAATGTATTGATTCATATCTTCTCACTTTTATCTTCTATTTTTCCCTCTTTCTGTTTGCTGTATAGCTCTTGAATGAAAATTTTAGAAGCAAAAGTGTTAAGCACAGACCACGGGAAGATGCAAGCATGGTTTTTGTGAACGATCATCTTAAAGGAATCGCAGAGAAAGGTTTTGCCCACCCTGGTGGCAATGTTTTGTCTGCAAGTAAGAACTTCAAAGTGGATTCACAGCCAGCTGTTCCCGAACTTCCCTCATCCAGTTTCAGCAAATTGAAGTCTCATGTTCCGAGGAACCAGAGATCTCACTTTATCAATGGAGGCGGTGCCAGGTTTTCGGGCTTATCAGGTCCGCTGGAAACTACGAAGTTTCATGATCTTAGAGAGGGGCATGATCAATCCTACCATTCTGGTGCTGCTTACCAGTTATTTAATAGGCGTTCGTCTTCTCATAGCAGGGATGAGAGAGGAAGGGAATCAACAGCAGTAAGTCCTGGTTTCTTTTACATTCCTTTAGATATCCTTTTGGTTGGTATGCTCATTTTAGGAAATTGCAGGGTATATTATCATTCTACTCAACTGGCATGCATCTTAAACTTCAAATAAAAGCAAAGGATTTAGGGGCGTTTAGTCATTTACATACATACCACATAATTCTTATACATCACATATCGGGAAATTTATGTACGGGGCATATAATTCTTGTGTATTTACATATTGCACGCCTTTACTTTCATATTTACAGACATAGCACTTTGATGCTTCAAACCTGTGCATGAAAAGTTTTATTTGCCTTTTAAGAAGTGTTAAATAGTGCTTTATTTTTTAGTGTTGAAGATTCGAGTGCTGTGTGTGTAAATATGAAGGTTTAGGTGTGAGATCTATCAATACATCAAAATTTTATGCTATGTATGTGAATGTTCCTTCTTTTAGATACACATTTGGTTGGTCTGCTCATCTTAGGAAATTGCAGGGTATTAATGTCTTTCTGCTCAACTGGCAACATCTTAAACTTCAATTAATAACAAAGTTTTTGGGGGCATTTACATACATATCATACAATTTTTATGAGTTTACACATCTGAACATTTCACACAGGTGTTATGAGTCTAAATATCAAATTTCAGGTGTTAGATATTTAAATACATAAGAATTATGGTATGTATGTAAATTTGCTGAGATTTTAATAGAACAAACCCGGACGTAGGCATGCTGATCTCCACTGCGAAACTGTTTCAACCATCCTTTAATAGAGCTTGTATTTTTAGGCCTGTATTAAGAGGTGGGTTATATAATTTGTACAAATGCGTTTTTAAGCCCGGCTTGGCCCACTAAACAGTAAATTAGGGTCAGTAGGCGTAGCTGCTTGTTGGATGAGTTGAGTGGCTTATATGATCTGAGTCCTGGTGTAGGCCAGCCTGGTTAAGACCTTTGACAAAACCTGACTTAAACCAATCAGAACCTAAGCCAGCCTGGTGAGAAGGTCCGAAGTTATACTACATCTATATTTTAGTTTGGGACGTTTACAAAAATACGTCGCAATTCTTATGTATTTACATATCTGACACCCATACTTCAATTTTCACATTCAAAAGCACTCAAATCTTTAACATCGCATCAGAAATATCACTTTTACTAACATTTTAAAAGTTAAATGCACCTTTTTATGCGTAGGTTTATAACATCTTGATGTTATAAATGTAAATATCAAACTGTAGGTGTTAGATATGTAAATTCATAAGAACTGTGTGGTACTCATGTAAATTTCTCTTTAGTTTTTAAGAGCATCAGTATCCTTTTAAATTGCAAATAAAACCTTTATGTTCTTTAGTGCCAAAATTTGTGTATGGAGCTCTGACATAGTCGTCATCAGGAGCCATTTTTTTATAATGCCATCTAGCATGAATCAGTTGTTTTTATCATAGCCGAAGTTAGGAGTATTTTGGTTATATATATGGTTTCAAAAATTTTAATCGTCTTTAAAATTACTGTTAGCTCTTCTTTGTGCTTTGGGCAATGAGGTACTATGATTAAAACTATAGTATGATTACTTATTTTAAACCCGAATATTTATGCTATAAAATTTTGTTGTTGTCTGCACAATTACGGTAAATGTTTTTAGTTTCTCTATTTCTGAAATAATCAAAAGAACATACCACTCAATTTGTATGTATTTACATATCCAATACCAAAATTTCCATTCTTTACATATGCATAACACAGATACACACGCACACACATATGTATAGAGACATGAGATTTATTTTGTGATGAGTATGATATAAGTTTTAGGAAGACTTGCATACATACCACTCAATTCCTATGTATTTACATACCTAATACCTAAAGTTTTATTTTTTAAATACATGTTACTTCACCTACGCATGAAAATATGTATTTCACTTTTTAAAAGTTAAAAAAAAAAGATGGTATTTTATATATGATGTGAAAGATTTGTGTGGTATAAATGTAAAAACTTAAAATTTAGGTGTTAGATATGTAAATTCAACGGAAATAGGTGGCCTATATGGAAAGCCCTCTTATCTAATTAATTATTTTTTGCACTCATCTCAAAGGAAAATTTAAACTGTAACTTGATTTATATTGTTAACATAATTTTTTGAATGGATGCAGGCCTATGTGCCCAAGAGAAACAGAATAATCTATTCAGGACCATTGATGCCTACCGTTGACAACATGGATGAAATGCTGAAAGAACATGAGAGACAGATAGAACAGGCAGTGCGCAAAGCCTGCATTAAGAGAACAAATAATAAGAAATATGGCGTTAATGGCTCCTCTGAATCCTGCCTCATGAATGGCAGAATTTGAAGATTTCAGATTGGTAAATCTCTTTTCTTCACTAATTTATATCATTTTACTATAAATTAGTTCACAATTCCCATCAAGTAAACCACCCCGAAACTTATTATTATTATTATTATTATTATTTTAAATTTTTGTTTCTCTTATATGGGAGAGAGGTAATGAGATAAATTGCTGGGTTTTTTTTTTTTTGCAATTTGGGTTTTTGTTGGAATGTTATAGAGGACATTATTTAGCTGAAGTATGTGGGAGGTTTGGAAAGATTGGCCTTCCCTGCTACAGGCTAGGAATTGAATCTATTTGTTTAAATGGTAACTTCTGTACATAATATGTAGAGCTCCTTTGCAGTTATTAATGCTTTTGGTTTTATTTTTCGTATTTGTTGTGGAGAGACTTGGGTTAGAGAAGTTGGATTGCTGAGGGCCATCTTAACTGTCGACCGTTCATATGCAATGCGTGGGAGAGCTAACGGGTTGGCAGGGATCGAGTAGGGGTGTAAATGAGTCGAGCTCGAGTGAATTGGGCTAAGTTGGGAGTTGATTAGTGCTCTACTTGTTTGAAAATTATTGTTTTTGTGATCGGCTTTCGTGAACAAATTATTTGTGCTTGTTCCACTCAATTTTTTGACATCACAACAAAAATAGAATCGTCGTTATCTTTTTACAAGTGACTTACACACATTTTTGATACATTAGTTAATGAGTCGTAAGTGTAAATATTAAATTTCAGGTGTTAGATATGTAAATGCATTAGAATTGGTTGGTCTGTATATAAGTTTCCCTAATTTTATTGCATCATATAGAAATGTTTTAATCAACATATTTTTTTCAGCTCAAAATTAATTTGAAGTTTTTTAAAAATATATCTTGAAGGCATATTGATATCATAAACTCGACTTCATTGTAGTCATCTCAGTATAATAATGAAGAAAAGTAAGATTTACATACATACCGCACAATTTATATAACATATATATAACCTAAACTTCAATTTTTACATACATGCCACCTTATGCATGGAACAGGTGTATTTTCAAGTGACATAAAGGATTTGGGTGGTATAAATGTAAAAATTAAAGATTAGGTGTTTGATACGTAAATGCACAGGAATTCGGTGGTGTCTATGTAAATGCCCCGAAGGAAAGAAAGGTGGGAAGTGCGTTCGAAGTCTCATCTACTACCAAACGTTGGACCCACATCTCTATAATTTACATATAAAACAGTACCTATCATATTAATATTCAAGATTATATTAATCGAACTAACACCACTATCTTCTACCAAACACATGGGATTGTTACCTCAAATAGGATTTTATATTCGCAAAAGCAACGCTATCATTTTTTTTTTAATTATCAAATTCATACTATCACAAGTATCATTGACAAATCACGCCACAATTATAAATATACATCCATTAAAGAGTTATATTTATTGATCAAGTTAAATATGTATTTTAAAAGATAGTGTGCATGCGGTGGCTCGATAATTGATTATTTCTTTCTGTTTTGAAATATCTCGTGCTTGAAACTCACCGACAAATTGAAATTAAATCTTACTCGCAACCAAATAACCTCTAAAGCTTTCTCTTCTTGCTAAACCTAATATTTAGAACATCGACTGAGCAATGATGGTCGTTGCATAGACATATAATTGACAAGTTGATATGATGCTTGCAATTGATGGGAGAGTGTTTGTTGGTAGAGGTGAACGAAAAGTTCAAAGTGCTTACTACCATATTTCATACTTATGGTGACGAGTGATATAGGTTTCAATTGTTAGATGTGTAAGTGTATAAGTACTAAATATAAGCATATAAATTTGCTTTTCTAATTTTAGTTAAATTCTCCTATATTAAATGAATATTTACATAAATATCACTAGTTCCTATGTATTTATATTTATAACACTTTAATATTATTCACATCTCATTAACTCAAAAGTCATAACCACCTTTTTTTTTTTTCTTTTAATAAAATAACATGGTAGCCACCAAACCATTAGAGAGTCTTCTTCCTCCCACCACTTCGCTTCCACTACAAGAACAACCTCCTCATCCTATTCTCCATCCACCATCTTCTCCCAAAAAAAAAAAAAAAAAAAAAAAAAAACCCTAGAAACTCAATCTCCTCTTCATTCTTCCTTCTTCCCCCATGAAATCAAAGCTCTCCTACTTGTTCAGAAAAATGACTTGGTCCCGAATCCAAAACAGCCTGCATATAAAGCTCCTTCTCCTCACCCTCCTCCTCCTCTTCCTCTTCTTACTACTCCTCCGTCCCAACCCCTCCTCATCCCAATCGCCAACCCTCACCGCCGCCTCCACCGCCTCATGTTCTACCAAGATCCCCGAAACATTAGCGGAGACGATCATCCACTACGCAACCTCAAACACCACCCCGCAACAGACCCGCGCGGAGATCTCCGTCGCCGCTGGAGTTCTCCAACATCGCTCCCCCTGCAGATTCCTCGTCTTTGGCCTCGGCCTCGACAGCCCTATGTGGGCCGGACTCAACCATGGCGGTCGCACCATCTTCCTCGAAGAAGACGAATCATGGATCGCTAAGGTTCGCGCTCGATTCCCCTCTCTGGAGGCCTACCATGTCCGATACGATACCAGAGTCCGCGACGCCGACGATCTGATGGAGATCGGGAGGAGGCCGGAGTGCTCCTCGTCGGCGGCGGAGAAGAAGGGGTTGAGGGATTCGGCGTGCCGGCTGGCGTTGAAGGGATTGCCAGATGTGTTTTATGAAGGGGATTGGGATCTGATAATGGTGGATGCGCCGACGGGTTGGATTCCGGAGGCGCCGGGGAGGATGGGGGCGATTTATACGGCGGGGATGGCGGCGAGGGGGAGGAATGGGGATGGGGAAACCGATATTTTTGTTCATGATGTGGATCGGAAGGTGGAAGATGAGTTTTCAAAGCAGTTTTTGTGCGAAGGTTATCTCGTGGAGCAGGTGGGAAGGCTTCGCCATTTTCGTCTTCCAAGCTACAGGAAGAAGGAGATGCCTTTTTGCCCTTCTGTTATGTAAGCTTGCTTTGATTGAGCTTATATTAGCAAAAAAAAAAAAAAAAAAAAAAAAAAAAAATTTTATAATATATTTTAGGAAAGAAATTCAAAATTATTTCGTGAAATGAAATTTGATTGGCTTTAAATGTTTGTTTGAGTTTATTTTAAGATAAATATAGTTTTTGTTTTAATTGATTTTTAGTTGTTCCATATATAAATACATTATGCATATAAAAATTGAGCATTATGTAAGTAAATATATTAAAAGATAATAACAAATCTCTCGCTCTCTCTCTCTCTCTCTCTCCTATGACTATAATATATATATATATATATATGTTCGTTCAACCACAAAAGAAATTATCAATTTTCAAATAAATATATGGAAATTAATATTCTAGATCCAATTTCGTTGGTCATTTAAGTTTCGTGATTTTAAAAATTGTTCAAGTCTGTTTATTTACTAATTTGAACGAACATAATCGAGTCTTAATCAAGTTGAGTTCGAGTTATTCATCGAGTGCATTAGTTCATTTACATCCCTACCTCCCATCACCGTACTTGTCCAAATTTAATATATTTTTTTAGCTTTACTGTAAAAGGATTCGTACATGTTAATTATAAAGCTTAACTTAGTATCATTACATTCACTCAACATGTCAACAATAATTAATTGGAAGAAAGATATCAAAATATTTAAATCATTCAAATATAATATTACTTTTATTATTATTATTATTATTTTTTTTTTTGGGCGCGGGTTGTAGTGAATGATTATATGATCATATTAAACTTATTATTATTGATGTAGTTGTGTGAATAATATGATTATATTGATGTCGTGTTATCCAATCCACTACTGACAGATTATACGATTATTAAATAAAAATATGAAATTAGCCAATGTTATTCAATTTCGGGCTTAAATCTGGTGAAAATAGAATTTTGAAGAGCCCGATGTCTAAGCCCGCCTATGGAAATGGGCCCAACTCAATACAACCGGGCAATTGAATAAATGCTTTACCATTAAAAGCCCAAGAAAATGCTATTTTGATACAAGTAAATTTACGTACGGTTTCTTTGACTTCGTAAATAAGTAGAAAGACAAGTTGAATTTGGGAAAGGCTTGATTCAAATTCTTATCTCTTAAAAATTAATTTTGACATGTTTGGTCATATTTTTTAAAATTGAAGATCTACTTTCATACATTTTATAAACTTTATTCAGAATATATTTCTACAATGCCTCTCTTGTTCTTCTTGGGCTTTGATGAAATTAATCTCGAATGTGATAGCACACTATTTGTTTCAAATAAGATGGAGTGATAATCTAATAAGGACGTTCGGTTTACTATTGATAATAGGGGTGAAAATGAGCCGAGCATGAGCAAGCTTGGAGCTTGTTTGTGTTCTGCTGGTTGGAATTTTTTTTTTTTCCCTCGAAATGAGTTCGTGTTCAAAATAGCTCATAAATAGCCAAGTTTGCATTCAGCTAAACTCAAGTTCGAATTTAAGTGTTATAGGCATAGAGTATGTCCATATAACTTCTAGTTAAGTATGTTGGCATCATTTTCTTTGAAAATACAAGGCCTTTATGTGTGTTAGAATTATCACTTGATCATGGGTTTAATCTTTTCTCAATCTCTTTTCAAATAAATAATGAAAATTCTCAAGATTCTCGTGCATACCACTCAATTCCTATATATTTACATATTTAACCTTTAAACTTCAATTTTTATACTATGTCAACTTGTTTTTATAAGATTGTTGGATCCCAAATTATCTTTTGTGAACACGGTTCGAGAGTTAGAGCCCAGTGTTAGAGCCCGGTGAAAGAGAAAAAAAAAGAGAGTAGAACGGGGCAAGAATTTACTGTCGAGAGAATCGGGGGAGAGAGTCCCCTTTATTCATATTTTTGTCGCTTATTTATATGATTGTATTTTGTACAATTACAGAAATGAGGGAACAATTATTGAAATCATTCTTAATATGATTAATGCTCTAATTAATTATATAGATTTTATATCATATTTGTATTACAATTCAAATTTTAATATAGTGGTAATCAACAGACCGACTTGTCTGAGTTCGGCTGATTGAGGTGACTGGTCGAGTGGCGATTGTGCTTTCCGAAGTGCGTATCAGTTGGTCAAGGGGCTACGGGTCAGTTGACCAACTGCGATTAGGTGAGTCGTGATTCACTTGTCGTTCAACTCGTCCTATAGGAAATGTCTCGTATGCCTACTGGGTTTGTCGCCTCGGCCGGATCTCCCCATTCTCGCAAGATCTTAGGTGGATCTTGTCGCTGCCTATATCAGGTATCCAATGAGACTCGTTGCCAAGATAATTTGCACCTCATTCTCAGCTGATATCGCCTCTACTGAGCGGGGAACCATCTATAGAGCTTTGACTTATCCCGAGCTCAAAGACACATTTTCTCATTGTTGGCATTGAATCATCGGTTAACTACTTATCTCGAAAGGAAGCATTTTTATCTTAGTCATTCTTTCTCTATGAGATTCGTGTTGGTATTTCTGGTGTGTACAATGATAAAGTATGTTTCTCTTTTTTAAATTATTCTACTATAAATGTGTGATTACAAAGATACGTCATTATCTCAAAATTGGAAAGGATGGGTTACAACGTACATCAAGTGCAGCTCTTGTTCGTGTACAATGTATAAAATAGTTCAAGAGTCTGAAGAAATTTGTCATATTGTGAGTATGGCGGTTGAAGTATTCATCATTGGAAGTTGTCTTTTGATTTTCAATACGACATTATCTGTTATTCCAAATGTAGAAAACTTTGTAATTTTGAATTCATGATATTTTGTTACTTTGTATTCATAACATTTTGTAACTCTATATTCAGGATATTTTGTTGCACCATATTCAGGGATACGTCATTACACAACAGGGTTCGCTGACGATGGTGAGTATGGAGCGACCAATAGTGGTCGGCGAGAGTTGGTAATTCTCGTCGAGCCTTCGGTCCAGAACAACATTGTAATTCAACTTTTTTCTCCTCCCCACAAAAGAAGAGGTCTATTTATAGCTTCATGGGAGAGAAATCTTGGTCAGTCAGTCAATAACTCTCATAATCACGTGATCAAATAACCACATTATTCCTTTAGATCATATGAGGGTTTTGAGGGTCTTAATGACCTCATAGTTAGGAGAGCTTAACCTCACTGATTCCTTTAGTTGCGACCTTTATTTAACTATAATTATGTCAAATTTGAAGTTCTTTTGTTTATTTAATTAATGATCTGAAGCCTTCAAAAGTGTTTTAATGGCTTGATATGAACTTTATTGAATTCAAATTGAATCAATTTCAATATTATTATGTTCATCTTTTCAACACGATCAATTTAAACATAAGCTTGTAATAATTGAAGCTTTTGATGATATTTAATTTAAATCTGACCAATTTTTCTAAGAGAATTTTTTAGTGAAATTAGAAAATTCCGTCGTTACATATCACATATATTTTATTTTTAATAGTTAAAAGGATGATATTTTTAGTGTGATACGAAAGAAATTATAAAAAGGTCAGATTTAATTGCGTGATCGGTAAATACAGAGTTATTGGGTGGTATGTCTTATAATGCCCCCTTAAAAAGAAATTATAAAAACCCTAAAAAGCAGGCAAGGTTTGATGGAGGAGCCATAATAAACGACAGCAAAACCACCCCGCTCTTCAGTATTGACACGTGGCATAGCCTGAAGGAGCTGAAGCCCCTCTATATCTTCTTCTACCTCATCCCTATCTCGCGTCTTCTCTTCCCTTCTTCCCACTCCCTTCAATGTCGCCGCCTTCCCTCTTTCAGTCGGAATCCAGTGGAAGAAACTGGAGAGAGAAAGAAGAATCCGATATGGGAGACGGCGAGCACACGATTTTGGAGAGGGAGGTAGCAGATATAATCATCCATCTTCTTCACCGGCAAGATTCCGTTTCCGTTCCTCCGATTGATCGCCGGAGTTCTCAAGAAATCGGGTTGGGTTTTGGATTCCCGAGGTGGAATGGGAAGAGGAAGCGTTCGGTTCATGGCTCTGCTATTGCTCCTGTTTCTAATGCCGGAGACGCTGTTTCAGGTTTTAGCTCTGATGCTCTGATTTCCTTTCCTTCCTGCAAGGAGAACGATGAAGATCCAGTTTCGCAGCTGAAAGCTAGGGTTAGTAGTTTCTGCATCTCTTTGTTTATCTTTCTCTGGGCTGTTCCGTGGAGTATTTAAAATCAGGGTTAAAGAGTAAACAGTCGTGATTGTGAGGATGAAGGAGACGGATTAAAGGGGTTTTTTGTTTCTTTCTTTTCTTGGATCATTTATAGCTTTCTTACAGTACTATGTAATAAAACTAATATTTATTCTGTAATTTCTATAAATAGCAGATAGAATCGCGTGAATCCGGCCCTAATTTGATGAAGGGTGGTTTCAAATCAGAGTTTTCTGAGGTAAATGTTGTTCCGTCTATGTTTTTTATCAGTTCCGATCTCTCGTGTATTTTGTAATCTTCATTTATTTTTTTCTGCTATGACTAGTATGAAGAGAGAGGGCTTCGTTTCTGTCCGGAGCCGAGAAGCATCAGCGGGGGAAGGGAGTTTGTGGTTCCGGATTTGAACATGAGCGCCGAAGACGTGGAGGCGGCGGCGGACGACATGCGGCGGAGGCAGGAGGAGGTTTACGTGACGGCTTGCCGGCGAATGGCTGCTGCGGATGCGAGGAGGAGGAGGAAGGAGCTGCAGAGAATGAAGAACTCTATTGCAGCTGATGCTCCGCTCTGCTCACGGGTTAGATGAATCAAGCTGGTTTGACCCTTTGCGAGAACAGAAAAAAAAAATAAACAAGAAAAAAAAAAAGAAAACAAAAGTATAACAATATTTTAATCTTTTTGAATTTGTGATACGATATTGGTTATGTATTTCTTCAAAAAAAATTTATTTATTTTTACGGCTTTTATTATATCGCAGGTTTTATCTTATCTTCATTCTTAGCATTTTGTATAATTCTTTATATGTATCTATGATTATGAAGAAGCTCTGCTTGAGAGAGATTTAACTCATTCCAAATTAATTATATTATAAATTATTTTTAAATAATATATTTGTGTTCTGTGTTTTACTCTCAAAATTAATCTATTTAATATATATATATATGCTCCGCCGCCTATTGAATGACATCCTTGGTGTAACACCCCTAGGTCCCGAGTTGAATCTCGGCACATTTGGCTTAAAGAGCTGATACTCCAATTGCTAGACAAATTAAGAGTGGTTGGAGGTCTTATAGTCTCTTGTCATTCATTCTAAACAATTTAAATAATTTTTTTTATTTTGAGCTAAAACAAGCACCACTCTAACAAATAAAAGGTTGGGTCTTAAAAAAATCTGTGTTTGATTTGCTAACTTAACGAGCAATTTGAGTATGAGCTGCTCGATAAATCGAACACGAACCATTCAGGAGCCGGAGTTTTAAAGCCCTACTATATACTATGTTTTAATTTTTTTCTATTTTGATATTGAGTGTCATTCATTGCTTCAAAATTTTTATTTTATTATATTTTTTTATGATAAATATTACTACTATAAGTCTAGAATCAAGCTCCAAGATGATTTAAAAAAAAATCTCCTAAATCATTTTAAATAAAAAAATAAAATAAAAGCTCAAATAGAAATAAAAATATTACCAGAATCTTTATTATAGTTAAAAATTCAGATTGAATTATTAAGTCTAAAATATAATTAAATAATCCTTTTAAATAGAAATTTTGAATATTATAAAATAAAAGTTAACAATCTAAGTAGAATTGAGCTTTTAGATGTAAAAACTTCCGCTTCTTAACCTGGTCTGCAGTCGATATAGCAGGCTAGTTATTTTAAGTTTATTAAATTATTAATAAATTTAGATATGAAAATTAATGGCAAATAAATTTAATATCTTGATTTTACTTTAATTTTATTCTAAAGTAAATTATAAGGCAAAACATTACGCCACCTGTCACAATTTCTGATCCTATCCAAATACGTAAATGCATAAGAATTAGATCCTATCTCTATAAATGTCCGTATAAGTAAATGTGAAGGCATATGATATATGTTTCTATAATCATTATACACGCACATATATGTAACTCAATTTTTAATGCATCATACATGAAAAAATATATTCTATATTTTATTTTTTTAAATTATAATAATAATATTTTTAATGTGATGTAAAAAAATTAGGCCATATAAATATAAAAAATATGATTTAAGTATTAAATACGTAAATACATAGAAAATGAGTGGTATGAATATGAATGCTTAAAAAATATTCTTTTAATATAAATATTTTTATGATTATTTACACATACACCATCCAATTCCTATGTATTTATATATAAAATACAGAGGAAATGACTGCTATGAATGTAAAAGAATTACTTAAAAATAATTCAAGTAACATCAAGTTAAATTACATTTAAATCTTAAGCGTAAGCTTTATAAAACATTTAAGATACAAATTAAACAAGTTCAGTCGACTATTGTCTTCTTTAAACTAATTTTTTATGTCTTTCAAGCCCAATAAATATGGTCCGAGTTTTATAAATTTTTTTTTTTAAATTGTTTATTATTTTTTATTCAACTTAAGTTTTAAAAAATCCCAATTAATTATACCTTTAATAATAATAACGATTTAAATATATGATACAGCTGTTTAAAAGAAACGAATTTATAAATTTTAATAAATAAAAAATTAAATATACATATTAATTAATTATTTAATAATTTTATCATGCACATACCTTTAATAAAATACATAAACAAATAAATTAATATATATAACAAATTGATAAAAGAATTGGTTTGCAATTCGCATCACATGGTATAGTACACAACACAGGATACGGCCATATTGCACAAAAGACCCACATTATTTTGCAATAACACAAGTATCCATAACATAAGAAAATACAAGAAATTTATTAAAAAGGGGGGCAACTCCTATGTATTTACACATCTAACACCAGAACTTTATGTTTTACATTTTTATCACTTAACTCTTACATGTCACATCAAAAATATCACTATTTTAACTTTTAAAAAGTGAGATACACCTTTTTATACATAGCAAAGGTGGCATATATGTTAAATTGAAATTCAGGTGTTTGATATGTAAATAAATAGGAATTGATTGATGAGTACTGTAAATCTTCCATAAAAATAATGACAGCTCCAAAATTTATCATGTTGTATACACAAATGAAAAGCATAGGGAATTTTTGGCTGAAATCCTCATAAGGGTCCAAAGTTTGTAGCTCAAAAGCCGGCAATACCGAAGAGGTTTGGCAAGGACATGTAGCGCACCGGTGAAGCTCTCTTATTAGTGAGAGAGTCTCATTCCAAAATGCTACGAGAAAACTTCATGCTAGTCCAAATTCAATGAGCAAGAAGTTCCCTATTTCGGACTCAAACACAGTCCAAGGGTATGATTGAAACAATTGGCCCGAGTGAATCATTGTTTTCATCACTTTCATTTATTTTTCCATCGGCCATAACATCCACCATCCCTCATGCTTCGAGAAGTTCACTAACAAATCAATTTGAGGGTAAAGTTCTGATTAAATATGATGAATTCTTACTCTAAATCTCACCTCAAATGGTTATAGAGGGAATGTTGCATGATTGTAAGATAGTTTTCATAATAAATGATTTTGGAATACATCGGAAATTATAAGCTCCAATGGTTAAAGCTATGAAGAAGATTAGATTCGCAGAAGAGAGCCAGAAACAGAGTTCGAAGAAAGATGAAGCAGAAAATCCTTTATTATTTTCTCACACCATACATTATAACAGCCCTTTCTTATTTATAAGAATAGAGCATGGCACACTTGTAAATACAACCAAGGGTGGGTAATTAAGACAATTTGCTATAGAACCTAAACTAATATCAATACATCTTATGTAAGAGAAATGCCTAGGTCCCGAATGAGAGAGCCGCAGCTTTTGGAATAGGCGAAGTTGGAGCAATACAGAAGGCATAAAAACTTTAATCAGAGAAGATGAACCTTGACTTGGTTCAGGGAGCAAGCCGCATGAGGTAACATCCTTTTACTAATAATTTATGTTGCTTGCATAAATAAGAAATACTTAAAATCCTATATGTTTAGTGATGTAATTGTTGTGAGATATGTACTTCCTGGCATAGAAATGAGACGAAAAAGAACACAAGCAAACACAGATCGTTTACGTGGTTCGATCCAACTGGATCTACGTCCACGGAAGGGAATCAATCAAATATTTCACTAAGACAAAAGAAATGGAGAATACATAGCTTATACATAGAGATGAGCCCTCATCTTCCTTCGATGGCCTCCCTCTCAAGCGACACCTTGATACAAGGCCTCAAGATGCTCTCCTCCTCTCTAACTCTATAGCTATTCTCTCCTCCTTTGTGGTAGCTTAAGATATCTTCTCCCTTTCCTCTCCTAAGCCTCACACCCTTAAGATCTCTTCCCTT